GTCCCAAGAGGGAATACTGGGTTTAAAGTCCCTGTGAAGACAGTCCTGCTGTTAGGAGGACTTTGACTTCTTCCGAGCCGCTGAACTGTCCTGCTGACTCGGAGGAGGGCCTTTGCTCCATGCCGATTGACGGGGAGGCTGCGGCTTGCTGGAAGGCTCGGCGGGCTGGGCCTTTGAAGTCCCGGGCGTTGCCACCTTCTTGAATGGAGGAGGATGAGACGCAGACCTGGATGTGCTCGGGGCCTTGGGCCTCTCGTCTCGTCTGGGGATGATGCAGTGAAAGAAAGGCTCCATTGGAGGGATGCCCACCAGGCCTGCTTGGTCTGCCCCTTCCACGTCCAAGTACTGACCCAGTCCGGGCACGAAGGCGCGGATGGACAGCGGTTTGCTCCAGGAAGACGTCAGCTCCGACACAAAGTCCAGAAACATAGGCAGACGGTGCTTCACATCAGCCGGTTCAGACGGGAGATAAAACCCTGCGAACCTCGACGGCTTTTGAGCAGGTGGAGGGTCGGGCCACGTTGCCTCCAGTTTAGCAGCAGCTCGGCGGCACAGGGACAAGAAGGAYGAATCCTGGTCCACCCTCTCAGCAGCGGGGGTGGAGTGAGCTGGGCACGGCTCCTCGTCGTCTTCGGACAGACTGAGAACCTCCTGCTCCATCTACAGAACATTGTCCTCCTCTTGGTTTAGATCCAGTAGAAACTGGGTCTCGCCCCCCTCGATGTCAGGTGAGGCCGCCTCGTGCTTCATCTGGTCCGCCCAGCTAGCAGAGGGGGCTTCGACCGCCGAATCCTCGTCTTCATCGGACTGAGCTGTCTGGCTGAATTCGGAGAGCAGCGGGTCTTGTCGGAAAACAGCAGTTTCCCCCAGCATTTTCTCCAGGAATTTCACTCTCCTCTCCAGTGTCGGACGTGAAAGTCCGGCACAGGCCCAGCAGGACTCAGGCTCCACAAGCGCCCGTTGAGCGTGAATGATTCCTAGGCAGGCCGGGCAGGCCTCATGCTGGTCCTTCTCGTGAAGCTTAAAGCCGCACCCCTGAGGACAGGGGCGAACAGAAGACTTCGGCTTCTTCGAAGGTGATTTTGTGCTCATCATGAACCACAAAACAGATTTTCAGCAGAAAATAAAGGTCACTTAATTGCGTCGAGCGGCAGACACAGCCAGCAGGTAACGCGGTTAGCACCAGTAAAGCTAGCCTAAGAACCTTAGAAGCTGAGCTAACTAGCAGCAGCTATGTGAGCTCAGGTTTAGAGGTGACTATCGCGAGGTGAAGGGCGGTATCTGAGTAATGATGCTGGTGACTCCGAACTTATAGGGTGAAGGCAGAGCCTGTCACCAGACGTTCAACGTCACCAAGTCACCGGTCTAAAGACGTGATTAGAGGTGGCTTCAGCCAGGCGCGCGAGGGCGCGTGTGTCCCATATACAACTGTGTGTTGTACTGAGTGAAATGACTGAAAAGGAACACTAATTTCCTTACTTTTTGTACTAAATTTAGTTTAAAATGCTATATAATTTTAGGTGTGAGACGTGAATTAGAAAATACAACAGTTAAAGAATAGATCATTTACAGACTTTATAAAATCTGTTTCATGCCATTCACTTTTATCTTAACAGTTTAGCTTTATTTGCTGGTTTGTCTTCATAAATTGATATAAAAAACATGCATTACTCCAACTTGTTTTTCTCTCTCCTCATCACAACAGTCATTAGTTCCCTTTTTTACTTGTTCATTTTTTAATTCTGTTATGGAAATTAGTGGTTTACGTTCAGATAAAGGCCTGGTTGGCTCACATGCACACAGGTCTAACACACAAATAATAGGAACCGCACAGCAACAGGGCCCTTTGTATTTGTGCCAAGAAGAGCCCATGGACGTGAGCTCTAACATGCTGTGGCTGCCAGAGATTTTACTGTTGTCCAGTAGTATGCAAACCAGCTGCAGGAACAGTACAAAGATATGATCTTTTTATCTGTACTGCTGACTCTAAATAATGAATTATCAGTCTTTTAAGCACCACAACCGCCAACAACTTTGATCAGATTTCTGCTTTACTTATGGACAAATACTAGAAGCAAATAGTGAATATGCTTTCTGTTCCCCTCCTATAACAGCCCAACTCACACCTCTACAGTGAGTCTCACTGCTGACCAGGTGAGAAGTCAGTTGGAAAAAAAATCCACAATAACAAGGCTGCAGGTCCTGAGGGTGTCTCCCCCAGGGTGCTAAAAGACTGTGCCACCCAGCTGTGTGGAGTACTGCAACATGTCTTCACTATGTGGCTGTCTGGAGAGTCCCAATGATCGGGACGATGTCTGACGTCCTGCATTGTTCCAAAAATGTTGTGACACTGTGACATCAACGGACAAGTGGCTCTGATGTCCCTCGTCATGAAGACCATGGAAAGGCTTGTCCTGGAACTGCTCTAGCCCATGGTCCAGCCACTCCTGGACCCCCTTCAGTTCACATTTCAGTTCGCGTGTCGACTTTTTGGCATCAGATGGAATATAACAAGCTCTTTCCTCTTCACTCTTCAGAAAACCGTCAACTTCAAATGTTTCATGATGACTCTTCAATAGTTGGATGTAGGGACTGGGAAGAGTGTTTATTCTAGTGTGCTTAGCTTTTGTTTAGTAATTATTTTTACTTGAACAGTTGCAGCTGTAATACCTGGGATTTCTCTCGGGGATCAATGACGTAATCTGACTCTGAATATGTGACCCATCACATCGAAACGAGGATTAAGTCCAAAAGTGGGATGTGGAAAAATAGGCAAATATTGTGTTGTCATTTAAATGTGTGCAAAAATTGCATTTTGTCAAAATATAATGAATTATTGCCTTATCAATGAATCATTTGAAATATAATCCTACAAAATTTTTGAAGCATTTTTTTGAGCAGTAGCAACAAAAAAAACTGGTTTTGAGGAAAAACCCTTTTAAATTTTGAAATTTTCCCTGTGAGCTTTTGAGCTTTTTGTTTCTTTCCAATTGGGAAATCTTAATATATAAATATTATTTGATGTTTCCTCTTTATATTGACATCAAAAATTACTCAATAAATTTACATAAAATTAGGATTCAGACCAAACAGTAATGTATAATCGTAACCAATAAGACAAATTAAGTCATATCTCTGGATAAGATTATGATATCAGAATGATCCTGGTATCAAAATGTAGCTTTTAAAGCCAGGAATCTGAAAATGCAATTAGGTAATTTTATCCAAATTTGACTTAATCCTCATTTTGATATGATGCATCACATATAGTTTTCTCAAATAATTTATTGGGGGCACAATCTGCGTTTTTCCAAAACTGGGGGTGGTCCAGACCCCAGCCAGCCCCTTTTGATTTTTTGCCTATGTGTGACTGAAACTCTGTAAAGTGCTCAGCAGATCCTGACGAGGTTAAAAAGGATTGAAATAACTTGTCAACCGTTTGTCATGTCTGCATTTAGAATGAATCTTGTTTAGGAATCAAACCCCTTTGCTTTTATTAACACACAATTCAACAATGAATAAAGTCTAAAGCAGGGCTACTGTGTGTGTGGATTGAACACAGTGGGAATATATAATCAGTGCAAATGCACTTTTATGGGATAACTCAAGTACTGAATTTAAATCTCACAAAAAATCACCGTTAAAGCCTTTTGACAGGCTGTTTAAAGTGGCCTAACAACTGTTGACAGGCTAAACGCAGCCCACAATTTATGTACGTATGGCAAGTCAGCAAAATGCACATCCTGACGTCCCCCGCACCCCTGTTCTACACCGCTGACCTTTTTCCAAAATAACATGTCAGAGAGGCTTGTTGTGAACACGTGTTACTGTACGCGTGTAACCGTGTGTGTTCGCTCAAACACAAGGTTCTGTGATACCCTTACTGTGGTGGATTGTTGACCTCAGTTTAAAAAAAACACAAATGTGAATGGTTTCTTTTTTTGTAGCGATTGTGTAAGTGTGTGTGTGTGTGTGTGTGTGTGTGTGTGTGTGTGTGTGTGTGTGTGTGTGTGTGTGTG